AGCTCGGAGTCACCGCATTTGAACCTCCGTGGTCACAAGGGGGTTTTTTATTTCTCCTTGGATTTGAACCTGGGACTACCTCCTGATACTTTTGATCTTTGGAGTCAACACATAACTTAAGATTGAATACTCGGGACATATAGATATCAAGAAAGAATTATTATCAAAATACATATCATCAAATATTATTTGAATCCATTATTGATCAATAATTAGAGAAACAAATAAACACGTAACATCAATATCTTAAAGAAACCCTTGAAACGGTCTCGGTTTTGGATGAAGTGAGATCTTTTACGAGTTAGAAAGTCATAAATATGACCATCTAACTGAATACACTGTATTGAATCGAATCGAATCGAATTGAATGAAACAAGAAGTAGAGATAAAAGAGACTTACTATATAAGGAAATATGATCTGCAAAAAGTAGCAGCAGAACCGATTCTTTCCAATTTCAGAAAGAAGAGGCTTGAAATCATGTATGCAAATGACCAAAGCAAAAAAGAGGTGAAAGTAGACGAAGGTGTTGGGGGGGAACTCAAAAGTATTTATTCTTAAAATGAGCTGTTTGGTTATTGGGCCTTTATCTCTCCTTTATCAATGGCCATCTTCGAGGGTTATTTTGGGTATTTCACTTTCTTATATTGTAATTCTTGTAATAAAGAAAATATATTATTATTACTTTTAAGAAAATAACACCGATTTAATTCCGCTTTTCTATAGTTTTTCCTAAGAATGAGTCTTTTTTATTATTTTTGTAGGATTTCTATGTAATATAAAGAAATTATAATTATCAATTTTATAAAACAAAATTTCGTTAATTTATTTGATTTATACATGAAATGGAACTAAATTTTCTAGATTCTATCTTTCATTGATTTTATCATTCCATCATATATCTGATAAGATTAAAACTCGTTTTTTCGTTAAGAAGTTAAAACTCAAAACTATACAAAACGACCCTAATCTATTATAGCTATTTTGGCTAGCTGATGCTAATAAGTTAGTTGGTAGCTGATAGACTAACTAATAAATAAATTATGTTTGACAAAAACTAACTGATAAAAAAGTAAAATGAACAAAAATGTCATCTTGAAAAATTAGTCAATTATAATATTTTATGATATATAGTTAAAATAAATATTTAATAATATAATATATTAATACAAACACATAGTAAAAAAAATTAAAATTATAAAATATATTAATTAAAAGAAATTTTAATTGATTTTATATATATATATATATATATATATATATATATATATATATGGTTGGTTTACGTGAAATCAAAGGTTTTTCGTGAGACGCGTAAATATCAATTTACGTTCATTGATCAACTTTATAAGCTAATGGTCTATAATTGTACGGTGGCAATTTTGTGATTATTGAGAAGTCTCGTAGCAATTTTGTGATTATGAATATTCATATTGTAGAAAAAATTCAAGGGTTGAGAACTGGTCCTACGGGTTTTACGAAAAACTCTTGGTCTTACATGATCTCAAATATATATATATATATATATATATATTTGTGTGTGTGTGTATGTATTGTGATAACTAGGTTTTATTTGTGAAAAAGTTATGGGTTGATTTTAATAAGTAGTAAAAGTTGAACAGTGAAATTTTGATAAAAAGGTAAAAAGTTTAACAAATCCACCGTTTCATGTATCTATACTATATTATAAAGCATTTGACTAAAACTCTTAAAACTCTTAAAAACTATTAAACCCGTTCATCCTTATCCAATTTCATCCCATATCTGAATTCGTGTAACTAACTGCAGATAAATACAATCAAATACAGGATAAACATCTCATTTTAAATATAAAAAATCTAAAAATTAGTATAATCATTAAATTATAACAGAATACTTAATTATTATCTTTATAAAATTTATAATATTAAACCAAAAATAAATTGTTTTATTATTAAACTTAAATTAAATTAT